TCGTGATTGTGCCGCGTTTGACGTGCACGGAAGCGGCAGCAGCTCGGAATGTGTTGCAACGCTTTGTCGCGTTTCGTAGTTTCAGCCACGTGAAGAAGCAACAAGGAAGAAGCATGAAATAAGGGCAATGTGGTTCCGTGGGCGGAACCTAAAATAATTCTTAGGCCATCACCGACTCATGTATGCCGCAACAATGAGAGTAGCGTTTCAAGGCGAAACATTTCTTGACTCATGATGAAACAAGGGCTAAAAATTACACACACTCATAGAGGACACAGACGAGTGCTTACTAGCAACTGAAAATTTTATTTCAAAACGAACACTGATAAATACCTAACGACGTACATAATGACGTACTTGCGTGTGAGGTATTTATTAGTGTTCGCTTCGAAATAAAATTTTCCGTTGCTAGTAAGCACTCGTCTGTGTCCTCTCTGAGTGTGTGCAATCTTTAGCGCTTGTTTCATCATGAACCTTTACCAACACGCCCAACTGGCAGTCATTCCTTTACTATTCACCGCGATATGTCACTTATCATCGTTTATTCGAATGATTCGTGCATTTGCACAGACAAACTGGCTTGGTTCAGACACTAAAGTTTGCATGCCGTGAACAGATGGCAGGCGCACGAAGGAAGTTCCCCGGCCAGTGAGCAGCCAGCGCTTGCTTGCAGACTATAGCAACGTCCCGAGTCACACAAGCTGTTGACACTATACACGCGCAGGTCGGGAGCAACACCAAGGGACTCGCTCTCTGGATTTCGTGCCGACCGGTCAAGCACCCGCGATCTCCGACGACATCGCAGCTCTGACCGACTGGGCTCCCCCTTCGCCATCTCCTGACGCCGACAAGGGCTCTCGCCGAATGGTGCCCCGTCCTCGGGCTCCTGCGACGGTGTCCATCTTTTCTATCTCCTCTTCCGTCGTTTTCTGTCGTTCGCTGTCCCTGCGCCTCACTCTCTCCTTCCTCTCTATCTCTTTACCTTTCAATCCTATCCTTTTAATCCCTCCTTTACCACCGCCCCCCCCTCGTGAGCTACTGTTGAGGTGTCCTCCCCCTGAGAGACAGTTACGGGGTTCACTTTTCTCTTCTTTTTATTTAAAAATCACTCACACTCACAACACCATGTCGCTTTCAATTTTGCAATGTTCGTGGCCCTTCTTTGAAACACCCCCAAACAACATCTGAGAACACAAAGAACAAGCGCGTTATTCTTCTTTAGCTTTTCAAGTCTTATCGTACAGAATTGAAACTCTATAGCGGCTTGTTCACGCGACGTCACGAAAGATTAACATCTCGATTGGTCCACGGGAGAGGGATATTGGTTGTAGATTGTCTCCTACCCAACGATTTGCCATGCGGTTGTATGCCCGTTCTGCCTTGTTTTTCATCGAGCGCGATCAACTGATTTCCCTTTGTTTCGAGTGTTTTCGACTGCGCAAGCGGCGATAATAGCGAGAAACAGAAAAGCGCAAAAGACTGATAGACTCAGCGCTTTGTGTCAACATTCACACCATGTTTTGTGAAAAAAAAATGGCGAGAAGATGCTATAGAGCTTGCACGAAATGTAGTGAAGCCGAGGACGAAAGCACTCCATCGACTTTGAACTCGGAATGGTTTAGGTTCCAACGAAAACAAATTAGACACGTAAAATCGCGTGGTATCATGGCGTCTACTTTTTTTTTGTAGTTTCAGGCAGAAATGTCCCACAAAACCACAGAGACAACGTGACAACCGTTCAAAGCTTATGAAATTTTAATATAAGCCTTTCTAGCCCGTCACTTTTGGTCAGTCACCCCGAAGAGAGTGCTTTTGAAACACTTGCGCTGTCGTAACACGTATTAGGTTAGTACGCAACAGAACACATGTTTTGAACGTTGTAATGCGTACAAGAACAACAACGCTGTTGCTGCGTATCAAAGTATCGAGTATATAATCACTCGATTGTAACGCGACCACGTTTGTAAGGCAATAAATGACTTTTGATTGCACTCAGGAAAAAAAAAAACAATAGAAATTTTGTATTCGATTGTAGCGCGAAGGTCACATTATGTAGCAAAAATCGGGAATAATGATAGCGTTATACATTTGAGTAAGTATGGTATGTGTGGGAGAGAATGAGAAAGATAAGAAAGAAATCAACAAAATGGTGCACACTCTTTTTTTTAATAGATTGTACTCATAATCTCACATGGAAATATTCGGCACCACCGACGCACGTAAATTATTACAACATGACAATCATACACTTACCGATCACAGGATCATATACCTTCATAAACAAAGTAAAAAGGTATAACTACTGTAACCTCAGAAGCATAACACACTGATGACATAAATAAACAGCGCCATAATCATACACACCGGCAGTGAGAATATGCGGGTTCACACATTTCCATTGTCCTACATGTTCACTCAAGCTGAACGCCTCAGGCACTCTTGACTGCTACCGCAAAGAAATGCTGTGGCCTCAGCCAATGCGATGAAAAGCAAAATGAACATTAGTCTCTGCAATCGAAGCAGGCATGGTATTTGATTGTTACCCGCACTACGTTTCAACTTCCTCGTCTCGTCTCAATACCCAAAGCTGCAGCCTCCATTATGTTTATAATGAAACCGTCGCACAACACCGATTAAAACATGCCCGCGTCGTTTTATTGTTGGGGAGGTCTAAAAAGTTCCACGCCCATGTTTCTTAAACCTATTGATGTTTCTTCGTAGTGTCATTAGAGCGAAATTAAAATCACCCTCCCACCAGTCCACGCTGAAACGTGCGGCACCGGCTTCGGTTACTAGGATAATTCCGGCGATTCACTAAAGTGTCTCTTAAATATTGGTTACCTCTGCCCAGATATATTGATTGGTGTTCACCCTCCGTGCGCTCGCTCTTTCATTTAAGTGGACCAGTGATGTGCAGCGGCATTAGCACAATTTCTCTAGCACACATGGTTTTGCCCAAGCTTGACTTCATTTCTATTTATTCATTTCATTTGTATATTAGGTCTTGTCGAAGTTCTGTGATGCATACTCGTTCACGATGCTCATACTTGTTTGCGTACATAGGACCACCGACTTCCCTTTCACCTGGTCACATAAAGCTTCGCTTTAAAAGATAGGCAACAGCAGAATATTGATCGGCTTCCAAATATACTCTAGCGCGAAGGTTTTGTGAGTGAAACTTTCCGTGTTTACTGATCGCCCAGTGGGTGACAATGAACGTAAGTAGATTCGCTTCTTCTGATGCTCTATTTTTTAAGACTACTAATCATACTGAGCCGCCCTTAGCCTCAAACACCGGAAACATTCGTCAGTTAATTTTGGAGGCCTTAAATACAGCGGAACTTAATTTTGTCAACTGTCGACAGAGAAATCATAAGCCAGACTCTTCAAGATACTGGATCATAGAAGCGCTTTCACAGTCGGAGAAATAAATTCTGTCCTGAAACTCACGCTATCCCATGTAAAGTTATGCAAAAGGATTTCGCGGCACCGCACTATTACTGAATCCGAATGGTGATGAAATTAGATGAGGGTGTCCTTGGTGTGACCTCACCGGGGACAGCGTTCGGTATAGCGCCTCACCAGAGAAGACTTAGTCACCCTAGTATTCAGCCACTACCTCTCAAAAGAAACTTATTCCCTACACCTTTAACTGTCCTGTGTAACGACGCCATGTTGATAAAATGGTGGACGGTTGTCACTAACCTTAACAATCTAACAAGACTGCAAGTTCACCTTTCAGCAAAAGCTATGAAGAATGCCAATAAATAACACAAGAAAGTACGTTTGAAAAAAAAAAGTATACAACGTTTGGGCTCGGGTAAGATAAGCGAATTTCGAAAGTCATGCATATACAGAAGCCGTACAAGATATGTGAAGTGTAACTGGATCTACAAATGAACAATACTACACATGTACGGTGAGGGTGCATCGTAACACGTAAACAATAAGTTAATACACACGCTATATATATACTTACACACACAATAAATAACTTACACGACAAAAGGTGACAAAGATTGGTGATTTTTTTTTACCACCGAGAACCTCGGAAGTGAGCCCCTACAATGGCTTTCAAAGCAAAACTTGACTTGAAGTTCGGCTTGCAAGACTGCCTTTTGAGAGATTGAAATACAGACGTTAGGTTCAAATTTAGCCTATATACATCACTTGAACTGTGTTAATTTTTCTGTAATATAGCTATTATATGGTTTTTTTCGTCTCATTCCCGCATTGCGATTTAATAAAAAGTAAGCATAGGAAGTGAATCGCAAAGAAATATGAAAAATCAACCATGTTTTACATGAGCAGAGACGTGCGAGACCTTTCGAGATTAATGAAGCTGATTTGAAAAGTCGGATCACCTGATATGTGGGGGTATTAACGTCCCAAGACCACCATTTGATTATGAGAGACGCCTTATTGGAGGGCTCCGAAAATTTCGACCACCTGGGGTTTAAGTTGGATCACCTGTAAGCGTCCAATTCACCATGCGGTATGCGGGGAACGGTTCTTAAAGGACCAGCATTTGATTTTAGTTGTGCTGTCGCAGTCAGATCACGCACACTCACTTAGATTTGTCTCATAGTTTACGTTAAGCTTCAACGCGTGGTTCGCGATTCGCTTAGGGTATGCAGTACGGATAGCTTTAAAATCAGCCGAATAGCTGCGCTTGAACAAATGCTTGCAAGAGGTGCATGAATAAAGTTTTCAAAAAGCGCACAATGAACAACACGCGTGGTTCCTTTCACTCACCAGGCAAACGCAGCTCTGGCGTCGGCAACGCTGCGCAGATAACCACAAAAGGCCGCAGACCAGGCGAGCACGTGACAGACGGCCTCATCGCGACGCACGTGTCGCGACGATTCCGTTACGTCACCGGCGGTCGACAGCAGCGCCACGCGCGTACCTCCGATACAACAAAGCTGTTTCCATTCATCTGATAATCCACAGCCTGTGTGTTTTTTCTCACTAGACATAAATATTTTCCATCTTTCCCTTTCAAACACGACACGCAGACGTGGCTACGTGCTTCTGTCTCGCGAACAGCAAAGATGCAATCAGTCGCAACCATTGGCGCAGACCGATATCTGTCCAAAGGCTTGATGCAGGTCGTGATTGCATTGATTCTGCTATCAAAAAGGGGTGACGGCTACACTTCAGATGACCGCTTTGCGTGGAAACAACGAACTAACAATGAGCTGCGCCGCAGCGGTAAATCGACATATTCGTGAATAATAAGGGAGACCCATTTCCGGTCCGACCCAGTGGTCGATTGCAAATGGCGCACGTCTAGGTGGCCCAGACCAGCCGAATAGCTCGCGCCGGCGCGGTCCTCTAACTTTTGCAGACGACTGTATGCTAACGCTGCGATGTAAGGTAGGCAGGGCCCAGCTAAAAGCTCGACTATGCACCAGCGAAGACATTCTTCTGAACACAGAACGTCTTCCTGAGCCGTACTAAGTATTACAATGTAAGGATGACAACTCCACTACGGTACTACAGTAGTCTTGTAGCTCTTAATATACTAAAGATAAGTTCGGCTCAGGGTGGCTCTGCCAGAAGCAGCCTGTGGTCATTGTACGATGCTAGATACCATCAGTTCCCCACATCGTCCATACTGGGCGCTGCACGCACACGTGGAGGCTGAGACACCCGCATCAACTTCTGCGAAGTAGGAAGGTGAGCGTCCAGGCGGATCCGCGATGACTTAGTCGCGTCGAGCTCAGTCTCTGTTTCGGGCGATCCAATCGAGAAACGTAGTCACACGTGTGTAGGCTCCAGGAAAGCGACCACCGCAGCCGATGCCGAACGACACCACTCCGACGACGTTCCAACGAAAGTCAAGGCCCAGAGCTAGCAGGGGTCCTCCGGAATCACCCTGCGGGAAGACGGCGCGATGTGATGCCTTAGAAGGTCAGCTTACTTAGGCGTCTGTCATGCGACGCTATAGATATCACGGTTTAAAAAGAGACGCGCATACAAATCAATTCACATCCCGCAGATGGAGCTCTAAGAAACATGCCGAAATCCCCCGCACACACACGCACCTACCTTAAGGAAAACGAGTTATGCAAAGACATCGAATGAGGGCCACATGCAGATACTTGAAGCCGCATCAAGACCCCCAATAGGCGAGTTAACGAACCAATCAAGAGAATCAGAAGCGAGAAGAAGGTGCCTCATTAGCATAGGCAGCAGGTACCCGCGTAACTTCTCCACCTACCTGGCACGCGTCGACGCCCGTATGGTTGACAGCGCACACGAAGTCCTCGGTGATGCCGTCAGGCGTGGCGACCCAGTAGCTGGATGATGTGCGCATAATCTCATCGCACTCTTCGTTGCTGATGACGGAGACGCGGCCCTCTTGCAGACGGTGCGCGTATCGACCACCTGCGGATTGAGCAAGTGACTTAGGATGCCGCCTCTATGCCGTGATGTCCACAAACGAATATCCCCGACAAGTCCAATAGCGAGGGGAAAAAAAAAGCCATAGGGCGAAGAAATCGAGGGGAAAGTAATGAGAGGCGCAGACGCAGCCCGACTAAGGACAAGGTTTCGTTAAGGCTGATAAAAAAAAAGACCCAATAACTTCTGATGGTGATTGACTGATATGTGGAGTTTAACGTCCCAAAACCACCATATGATTATGAGAGACGCCGTAGTGGAGGGCTCCGGAAATTTCGACCACCTGGGGTTCTTTAACGTGCACCCAAATCTGAGCACACGGGTCTGCAACATTTCTGCCTCTATCGGAAATGCAGCCGCCGCCGCCGGGATATGAACCCGCGACCTGCGGGACAGCAGCCGAATACCTTAGCCACTAGACCACCGCGGCGGGGCCCAATAACTTCTGATAGTAGAAACACCACCGCCAATGGATACGTCACATCAAGGGGTTCTTCAGAGTGCACTGAGTTTTACTGAGTAATATATATAATTGACAGAACTCTTAAATGTTGGCACACGTTTGTTAATTTGAATAATTCGTACTACAAGTACGACTGAAGTTCAGGGGAAGATGGTAGCTTGAAGTGATGAAAAGTTCAGCGACTGCCCGTGTTCTAGAATTTTAACGGTCACTCAGTTTTTTAAGCTGTCGTTAACTTGTGGGCCGCCGTGCAAAATTCCTCACGAGGGTGTGCGCCACAGGAACTGGGCAAGCGCCACTACGGTGTACAACAGGTAGGAGTGGCAAAGTTAGAAGAAAAAAACACGTGAAAAGAAACAAGTTGAAGAAAAAGATAGAAAATGAAGATGAAACAAAGGAAAGAGGAATCGAAATGCAGAGAGACATACACAGAATAAAGATATAAAAGATAAGGTATAGAAAGAATGATAGCGATATAAGAGAAAGAAAAATAAACAGAAACGAGGAAGGCAACCAAGTTGCGAATTGCCCTCAGGCTTTGTATCACTAGTGCGAAGATACCATTTTTTTATTTCTCCAAACTACAAGATGTTTTGAATAAATTTCACACGCTCCCTAATGCCTGAAAAGACTCGAAGATGATAGCCACCTCCACCTGTTTTTTTTTTTTCGAGAGTCAAGTTATTGGTAATATAACATGTATTTAATGTCAGGCATATTGTTCGGGAAGGTACTTAAGCTCACCGAAAGCTGTGTGTCCCCAGCCGAGCACAACCACCTGGACCGCCGAGCTTGAGGTCCGGCTGCGGCAGGCACACCGGGCCGATGTGGCTTCCGTAAGGAGCCTTGCTGGCGGTCTTCACGAGCGCGATATCGTTGTAATGGCGGTCCGTCCGGTAGCGTTCGTGAAGGCGGATCGAGGCGACGGGAATACTGGCACTGTGCGAACTCGCCGTCTCGTTCACTTCCAAGATGCCCACGCGCACCTTGTACACTCGGGCGCTGCGTAAATGAGGCGGGCGGTGAGCAGGGCCACTCTCGCAAATCACACGTGGTGCCAGCCAGGCACACACCGAGATGAAGCTCTGATCATCGAGTAGATTATAAGCAGCCAGGAAGTGCAAGGTCGTGGACACGCACGGGCTGCGGTGGATATCCTTTCTAAGCAGGAAGGTGTTTATCTAAACCTGTGCCAAGCTAGAAATAAAGATGGCGCGCTCTACGCGAACTGGACAGAGGTATCATGACAGGACGTCCACTTTTTTGATTTGATTGATATGTGGGGTTTAACGTCCCGAAACCACTATATGATTATGGGAGACGCCGTATAGTGGAGGGCTCCGGAAATTTCGACCACCTGGGGTTCTTTAACGTGCACCCAAATCTGAGCACACGGGCTTACAACATTTCTGCCTCCATCGGAAAATGCAGCCGCCGCAGCCGGAATTACGATCCCGCGACCTGCGGGTAAGCAGCCGAGTAACTTAGCCACTAGACCAAAGCGGCGGGGCATAGAAGCTCACTTTTAGTTTCGTAATTAAGGTAACAATAATTACCGAAAAAC